GAGTCAGCGTGGGATGGTCGGTGCTGCTCCAAGTGGGGAGGCCGGCGGCCGGCCCCGGAGCACGAGTGGGCAGCTCCCGCTGAGTTCCCACCCAGTCAGGAGAGGCTGACAACACCGGGTCCCCTCGCCCCGGTGCAGGTTGCCGCCGGCTCCCCGCCCTGTAGGCGCTGCCAGGTGAGCGCGCCGCGCCCTGCGCTCCACGCGACCCTTTTGCACCTTCCTCCTGATTCCGAACGGCCAAGTTGGGGGTCTTAACTTATGTCACACAAGCGGGCACTGCCACTCATTCTTGTAGTGGAGAATGCCTTTATCCAAAAAGAAAAGGAGAGTCCATGTGGGGAAAGAGACCCGGGGTAGGGATCCTTGTGGATGTAGTGATGCGACAAACACGTGGGCCCTGGACAGTTCTTGCTTACTATATGGGAAAGGACAGCATTTCCTTTGGGGACGCAGAAGGCACAGAAAGAGACGCGGAGAGGAAAGTGGAAAGACTGCCGGGCAGGCTCAGGTGTCTGTCCCCGACGCCCTTCCCACATGGGCTTGGGAAAGACGCCATGCTTCAGTCTGCCACATGCCGGCAAAGAGATGTTGCAATCCTCTCTGGGAAACTTGGGTCTTGGTCTCACGTCCTCCTCCCCCTTGTGTGCCCACTGATGCAAAGAGCCTTTCAGTGTTCACCAATCGCTACACGTTTCCCTCTTCCTGGACTGTGGGAACGCACGTGGTGTAGCAGCTGAAAAAACTTCGTCGGAAGTGGGGTATGACGTCTGTCCAAAACACGGTTACCTTGGGACTTGTGACTTAGGAAGGGAAACAGGAAGATGAGAAGTTCAGATCTGGGGGGCAGAGACTTAGAAAGGGTTTTTGTGGTGGTTACTGGTTTTGTCATATATTTCAGTGTTCTCATCTTTTGAGAAACGCCCTGAGTGAGGCTTTAAACAGGCTTGCAAAGCAGGTGGGTGGTGAATAAACTCTCTTGAAGGGTGTGTGCGCATAGTATTCACCCTTTGAAACCGGAAAGTTAACAGATGGTGTAGGATGCTTCAGAAAAGTTTTTCCTTGTTTTGGGTGGGTCATGCTTGTGTGATTTCTCTGAGCCTTGCCTCCCAATTAGAGAGTAGAGGCAATAATGCTAAGAAAGATAACAGGATTTAGTGTTCTCCACCTTGGGGACCACTTTTCTTTTTCCAAGAATTTTTGGTCAGTTTCTGCCAAACAGCATGCAAAGTATAACCTGTGTGAGTTAAGAAATTAAATAACCCTCTTTTTATGCTGTACTTAAAATAAAACTTAAATCTGTTAATATTATAATTATGATATTGTTTCCACTGAGTATTTTTTGAAATACCTCCAATGCAAAATTTGTGGGAGAGACACTCATGTCATTCAGAGCATTGTTATGTTTTTAATAATATGCTATTTTCAACAGAAGCTTTTGCATTTTTTTTTTCATTTAATCCTGTACCTTTTTAAAATAAGGAAAGCAGATATTATCCTTAAAGATGAAGAAAGCTATCAATTTCCAACTACTGTTCTGTTCCTACCAGATCCCCTGGTGAGGACTCTGAAGTCTTTTATCTTTCCCCAGCTAGATCCAAACTGTCTCAAAATGAAGGACAGCCTTCCACATGACACTTCAACACTGTTTGTCTCTGTCCAGTGTGTTCTGCCATCTTCTGTCCTTTGCCAAGCAAACACATGGATGCCCAAAATGTGCTAGACACAGTGCTGACTGAAATGGATATCTGTTCTTGGATTCTCCAATTCTAGTTTTTCACTGGCCTTAACTTCAGTTCGTAGAGCACATAGTCCTGGGAAAATATTTACATGGATAGAATAAAACTTTCTTTTTTTTTTTTTTTTGGTACTTGGGATTTAAAAACCACAGATACTTATTCCCACCCCTTTTTATTTTTTGATTTAGGGTCTCATTAAATTGCTTAGGGCCTCTTTCTCTTTTTTTTTCCAGGCATTTAACCACATCTCCTTCCCTTTTTTTAATTGATATTTTTAAAATAAATGATAGCGGAATGCATTACAATTCTTATTGCACTTATACAGCACAGTTTTTCATATCTCTGTGTATAAAGTATGTTGATACCAGTTCATGTCTTCATACATGTACTTTGGATAATGATGTCTATCACATTCTACCATCCTTGCTAATCCCCTGCACCCTCCTTTTCCCTCCCACCCTTCTGCCCTATCTAGAATTCATCTATTCCTCCCATGCTCCTCCTCCCCACTCCTCCCCTCCTTCCCTTTTTAAATACAGTATTTAGAGACGGGGGTCTCACTAAATTGCTGAGGCTGGCTTTGAGCTTTCTGATCTTCCTGCCTCAGCCTCCTGAGCTGCTGGTATTACAGGTATGCCACTGCATCTAACAAGGGCCTTTCTGATAGCTGAGGCTGTCTGTCCTCAAACTTGCAGTCCTTCTGCCTCAGCCTTCTAGTGCCTGGAATTATAGGGTTGGGCCACCATGCCAGGCTGAAATAAAGCTTCCTAGTGAACATTATGGAAGCCTTATAGTAACTTCATTTACATTCCCCCTCAAGGTTGCCCCACTTTGTAACACTCTTCCCTTGCATATATGAAGTATGTTTATAATTATGGTTTTAAGAAAGAGTGAACCATTTGATTTTATTTGATTAAAGTCCTTGGAAATAGTGATAGAATTTGGATTTTTGTGAGTGGAGGTGCTTGGGATTGACTTTACAAATGAGCTACATCCCCAGCCATTTTTGAGATAGGATTTGCTAAGTTGCTGAGGCTTACATAGAACTTGTGATCCTCCTGCCTCAGCCTCCCAGGTTCCTGAGATTGCAGGCATGTGCCATCACTCCTAGCTGAATTAGGAATCCTTATCTTTATTTTTCTAGGTTGTTAATTTTTGAGCAAATGAAAAGAAGCACAAAAAAATTATCAAACTGTCCTCTTTGAACATTTGCAATCAAATGTTTTTTCTTCCTGGCTGCTCTAATTAGAATGGCCTCAAACTAAAGATCTGCACTAGCAAATGCTTAGTCAGAATGACTTCTGCCCCCCCCCCGTCCTCCCCCCCAAAAAAAGCTAAAATATCAAGCTTAGCATCTAACAACTCAGAACTAACCCTGCCCACAACATAACATAGCAAGTTCTAATTACTATTTTAGTTTTGAATTTTAAAAACTGATGCCTTATTATTTATTTTATAGTACAGCAGCTTGGATTAATGTTAATTGTTACTTCCATTTTCTACTTTTATTTTAAATTGTAATCATCTGTCAGGTTCTGTTTCATTGAATCTAGATAATTCTTTATGTATTTCCTGAATTTACACATAGGTATTTCCTTAGAGGCATTAAATTTGACATTCACAACTGATTCCAAGAACACTATTTAAAATAGTTAAATATCTACAAAATACAGTTACATGAAGTTAATAATTTGTTTAGATCTTTTTCTCTTAAATCTAAAATTTTTCATTCTATAGAAATGGTCTTGCTCATGACAGAATGTAGAGTCAATAATCAAGTTAAAGGAGGATTTTATAGAAAATGTCAAGTTTAATTCCCACCTACTGAAGAGAGTAGGGTAAACAATGAAACAGCCAGAATTCTTCACTGTGGTTTGAAAAGCCTGTTACATCATGTCTCAGGGTGGTAAGTACAGAACTGGATTGAGACAGCATCAGTTCTATTAATACTCTTGACTCCTGGTAGGCCCCCATTTGAGTAGAAGATGACTGTTTTATAGACTGCCTATTAACAATAAGATAGGGGGTTTCTTATTCAGGTTTATTTAGTGTTTCAAGTCTGAAAATGGTGTGGTGAGGTCATTCATTTATCTATACTCCCCCTCAAGGTTGCTCCTGTTTCATACTTACTAAATTTTTCTGCATTAATACTTGGAATTTGAATCTTAAGCAGCACTTTTTTCTCCCAACATTTTCTTAATTTTTAATTACTGCAGAATTTAATTACTGTGTAGAATTGTGACCACTCTGGCTTACAACTTTAATGAAAAGTTGAACAAAGAAAAAAGGTTTAGTTTTCTGAAAAGTAACTCCTTATGATATCTTGCTCCATTTTCTTTTCCTAATTTATTTTGGAATTAAGCTGTTAACGGTTTACTTAGGTATGTTTAGGTTTTGTATAATGTTATCAAGATCTTAGTGATATAAGCTTTATCTCTTTGTAGGTCAGATAATAATTTATCTGCTTAATTCCATTTTAGCCACCAAAGTCCTTGGCACTGTCAAATGGTTCAACGTCAGAAATGGATATGGATTTATAAATCGGTACGTATGTGTACATCTGTGTTTTAAATTTACACTTATGTTGTAGCACCTGCAGTTATAAATCCTTTACCATACTTTTAATGGGTTGTATACATTTTTAAGGTTTATAAGCACTATATTCTCATTTTTAAGCAACTGGTCATTGAATTTTAATTAAAATATGTCTAGAACACTAACATAACTGATTTCAAAGTGTCTAATTATTAGTAGAAAAACATCAGAAATTGGAAGAATAAATGAGTCTATCCATAATTTCACAGATGGAGAAATGGAGTCTGAGACTGGTCAAGCAACTTTCTTTAGGTCACACACTAGTCAGTAATTGAGCTGGATCTGTACCCGGGCCTGGTCCAGGTCCTCAGAGGAAACCAGTTTTCTTTAAAGTTTGGTAACTCATAACCATACAGGAAAGAGGATACACCAAGCTCTTGAGAATTAAGATGTTTTAATAGAACATTGTAGTTTTCTCTGCTTCCCTCCTTCTTTAAACAAATTCTTCTAGTTTCTTCCTTGTCTGTTTTGGTGAGGTAGGGTGGGGTGGAGTGGTGGGAAGGTTGTTTTAAGTTTCAGTGTAAGGAGAGCCTAGTTCACAGCTGTGCCCTGTCCTTTTGACTGTCTTGCTTTGCTTTTGCTGGGAGGAAAATCTGGGGCTCTGGTTACATACCATGTGATTTAGGAAGAGATGAGAGGAAAGGGATGTTTCTGTATGTTGAGTCCTGTGTTTGGCTCTAGCACTGTGGTAATGTGGAAAAGTAGGATGGGTATTTTGGCAGAGTTAGTTTTTAATGAGGATGGATTCTAGGTGTCAAAATTTAGAGGATACACAAAAATTTATGTTGTAAAGGTCTTGAGATCTGAAGTTATAATATATTGTTCTTTAGGTTTATTCACATATTTAGTACCTCTAATGGTGAGTTTTTGTCTCCCAACAGAAATGACACCAAAGAAGATGTATTTGTACATCAGGTAAGAGGAATTGTAAATATAATGTTTGTTGTATGAGGAAAGGTATTTATAAACTGCTGCTGTTTCTCTGAAGCGAGTCCTACAACTTATTGTATTCTAAACTCTGTGTTTGAGACATTTTAAGAGTGCAGAGAAACTCTCCTGTCCCATCATTAATTATTTTTCAGTTTTAATTTTGCAGATGAATGGAGTAATTTAGTTGAACCAGTTTTTTAAAGCCTGCACCCTTAGCAAAAACCGTTCTGTTTCTGTATTAGCATCCTATTCTCCTTACAGGGCGGGTTCTCTTCAGTGTTTGGCTGCAATCATCTGGCTTTTGCATGGGTGTTGGTTAAAGCTCCTATAACTTGAGGTAAACAGCACAGTGAATCAGATGGTTGGAGTGTGTGTATCTAAGATGTGAGAAAACTTCCGATTCCCCAAGGCAGTTCTCCTACTAATATAAGCATGCTTAGCACATGTCCAAGTCAGAAGATCCACCTTCTCTTATGAAGGAAATATAGAAAATGGCTAAGGTATATACAAGATGGGCATCTGTTATAGCTGTCTTTCTTTCTTTCTTTACATTATTAGACTAGGATATTATTTATCCTATTATGTGTCCTAGAATACTTGCTTTAAAATACAGAGAAGTTGTACCTATGTTAGCTATTCTTTTTGTATGTTTAGCCTTCAGTGAATTGGCTGAAATAAGTGTTTTTCATGTAGTATGGCAGTAGGTACCAAATGCCAGTGCATTTACCTATAGGTCTCTCAAGCATCTGGTTTTCTGTATTTTTTGTGTCCTATTTAGGTTTGTGTGTGTGTTGGGATGGAATTTGCGTGTGGAGATAGCAGTATCTGAAAAGCTCTCTGGTTGTGGTTTTTCCATCCTTTATATTTCTGCTTGATTGGATATATTTTCATTTTTACATAGATAATTTGAATAATTTTTTTTTGGATGAGATACAGTAACTTTTAAATAATAGCATACTGAAAATAAAGTGTCACTTGTAATATCTGGAGGTTCATAGACATTCTGAGGTAAGAGCTCCATTCAGTGACTGTTACAGTAAAGGAGTTTCTCTGTGCTGGTGGCCGGCTTATTTGCCTGTGAGTGTATGACCTGATTCCAGCCCCATGAGGTTGTGTGGTGAGTCACCTCTGTGTTGAGGCCTGCCCAGTTTAACAGGAAAAAGGGAACAAGCCGGTAGGGAGGGGCTGTTTTTGGAATGGCTGAACATTCGTGCTGCGTGCGCAGATATCCTGTCCTGAGCTGCCTTTTTTCCTCTGTGGGTGAGGTCTCTGCCCTATTGGCTCAATCTTTTTTTTCCCCCCTCTGCCTCCTACTCAGAGTAGGGGAAGGGCCGGATTACACATGCCTAATCGCTTTATAAAATAAGGTTGACCTAGTTCCATGCAAACTCCAGAGCCCCTTTAACTGTTTAGGGATACCAGCCAAAGAAATGGAAATTTGTTGCAAGAGAAATATTCTCTCCCTTTCATTGATTGAAAAAGGGAAAGGGGCCTTTTCATAAGCAGATATTTAGGCAGAATAGCATCTTCATTAAGCTTTTAATGAGTTATTGGAAAACCTGTAGGGAGTAATTATCAAGTGAATGAAGTGATGGGAAAAATATTCAATGAATTTCATACAGGTACAGTAGAGGGATCTGAATTTTCTCTACTGCCTTCTCCCCATCAGGGCTGTTAGCTTTGTGGATTCAGATAAATCACTTAATTGTCAGCCCAGCATTTTCTTATCCACAAAATGGGATGGCAGGGAAGATGCGAGATTATCACTAATATTTTGATTCCTGAAGTAATTGTATTTACCAAGTGGTGCATGCCTGTAATCTCAGCAACGTGGGGAGACTGAGGCAGGAGGATTGCTAGTTCAAGGCTAGCCATAGCAACTTTGTGAGGTTGTAGCTTAATGGTAAAGAACCCCTGAGTTCAAACTCCAGTACCCCCCAATGCCTCCCCGAAAAAGGAATATTTATCTCCTTGGCATTTCTTTTTATTGTTTTTTTCTGTTCTTCATCACCCACCACATGTTCACATTTTATACATTCTTTTAACGTTTACAGTTTTGTCTAGTCTACAGAGCATCTGTACCTAAAATGTGTGCTTGTGTGTATGAAGCTGCACTTCGACTTTTGAAGCTTAATGGTTTGACGTAACTAATCTATCCAATATGATGATCAGGACAAAACAAGTTTGTAATAACTATGTATTTCTCTTTAATCCACTTGCCAAGATGAATTTTGAAGAACAATAAACCAAGAAAGTAATCGACTGTAGTTTTGTAAGGTTTTTGTTGTTTTGGAGATTCAGAGTAGTAGAAGAATGATAATAGTAATAATAGGACAACAGTTGCTTCAATCAAGTTCAATCTGTAAATTTGATTGTGATGAACTTGCTTTAATATTGAAATACATCTTAAATGCAATGTTTGTTTTTTTGATAGACTGCCATCAAGAAGAATAACCCACGGAAATATCTGCGTAGTGTAGGAGATGGAGAAACTGTAGAGTTTGATGTGGTTGAAGGAGAAAAGGTGAGAAATTGTGGTTGCATTACAAACTATACTGGCATATAGCTTTGTGGCATAAAAAATGGCCTTTGGGTTTCCTATGAATATTTGTTGGATTTTTTTTGTATGAGAGGAGTAAGTGACTTTTAAGCAGAAATAATAGTAGCAGCTGGGCATAGTGGTGCATGCCTATAATCCCAGTGATTTGGGAGGCTGAGGCAGGAGAATCATGAGTTAAAAGCCAGCCTCAGCAATTTAGGGAGGCTCTAAGCAACTTAGTGAGACTCTGTATCGAAACAGAAAAAAAGGCCTGGGGATGTGGCACAGTGGTTAAGCACTCCTGGGTTCAATCCCTGGTACCAAGAAAATAAAAATGAATGAAAGGAATAATAGTAGTACATTCTTATTTTTTAATTAAAAAAATTTTTTTTGATGATAATGGGGATGAAACCCAGGAGTGCTCTATCATTAATCTGTGTTTCCAGCTCTTTTTATTTTTTGTTTTTTTGAGACAGAATCTTGCTAAGTTGCTCAGGCTGAGCTCAAATTTGTGATTATCCTGACTCGGGCTCCCTTGTACCTGGGATTATAGGCTTGAGCTACTGAACCTGGCTTAAGTAGAAATATTTTTCATTATTAAATGTCATTACATGCTTTGTTATTATTGTTTTGTAGTTCTAGGGATTTAATCCAGGGGTGCTCTACCTCTGAGCTCTATCCTCAGTCTGTTTTTTTTTTTTTTGAGGCAGCATCTTTTAGTTGAGGCCTCAGTCTCCAAGGTCACTGGGATTACAGGTGTGTCTCTCTTCACCTGTCTAACATTCTTCAGAAAATTAAATAAGACATTTTTAAAATTTTATTTAATAAATGATAAACACTGATTGTGAAAGAAGCTAATTTCCCCCAATTTGTAAAATGCCTGTTTGATTTTGGAACCAAATATTTATAATTTGCTGCATGGCATTAAAAATAGAGAGAAATTGCCTGGTACAGAGGTGCACGCCTATAATCCGAACTGCTTGGGAGGCTGAGGTAGGAGGATCACAGATTCAAAGCCAACCTTAGCAACTCAGAGAGACCCTGTCTCGACAAAATAAAAATGGCTGGGGATGGCTGGAGATGTGGTTCAGTGGTTAAGCACCCTTGGGTTCAATCCCTGGTACTAAAAAAAAAGAAAAAATGCTTTAGGACAGAAAACTTATAAGACTAAAGTTTTTGGATTGATTTGTAGGCACTACTATGTATAGTAAAGCATATTTTATTCTCAATAAAAGAAGGCTCACATTGAATATAATCACTCTTCTTTCTTTGGGTCTCAAGAAAACTGAGGTGTTTTGATAGCCATGTTTTTTTTAGAGGCTGTCAATCCAGAAAGCCTATGGGTCATCTTGAAGAATTTTTTTATGCCATTATTTATTTAATTACAATACTACTAAATGTGCCTCGTGTTTTGATTTTAATCAGTAGTCTTTTTGTAAATTTGCTGTGGCAAGGAATCATAGCAGCCGAATGAATGATAAACTGATTGACTAACTCCCATGCACCTGTCCTTTCCACATGCATTTAAAGTCTGATAGGCTATTTTTAATGTCCTTTGTCACAATTTTACTTTTAAATTTTTGAAGCATTATTTTATACTTTGGCTCCTGAGATAAGAATGCTCATCTATTTCAAGCACAATAGGAAGGTATAAAGAGGAATTGTTTGTGTGTAGACTGTTTTACTTAATCAAAGACCCTTTCTTCTTGTTGGTGCCAAGGTGGGAGAAGTTTTACTTTCAGTAACTTAGTGCTGACTTGGTGTGGCACATCACTTCAATCCTGTCTACTTGGGAGACTGAGGCAGAGGATCAAGTTCAAGGCCAGTCTTGACAACTTAGTAAGACACCCTGTCTTGGATTAAAATTAAATAACTCAGTGCTACACAGAGCTACAGGAGTAGGGATTCTCTTGGTACTTCTTGGGGTAACCTAAGTTTCAGCATTTTAGGAAGATTATATTATCTCATTTCTTTACCATTAAGGAATATTTATTTGGAGGTTGTCTGTTCATTTTCTTCCTCAGGGTGCTGAAGCAGCCAATGTGACTGGCCCAGATGGAGTTCCTGTGGAAGGGAGTCGATATGCTGCTGATCGGCGCCGTTATAGACGTGGCTACTATGGCAGACGCCGTGGACCTCCCCGTAATGTATGTTGAATATGTTTCTAATTAGTGATTGGAAATTTTTTCAGCCGGTTGTGGTGGCACACTCCTATAATCCCAGTGACTTGGAAGGCTAAGGCAGGAGGATTTCAAGTTCTAGGCCAGCCTGGGCAACTTAGTGAGACCCTGTCTCAAAAGTAGAATTAAAAAGATGGGGATGTAGCTCAGTAGTGGAGTTCCCCTGGGTTCAAATCCTAGTATCACAAAAACAAAACAAAACCACTTAATGAAATGGAAACAAATGTCTTATATTCTCCTGGAGGCAAGACAAGTGATTCCCCCGCTTGGAAACTTGCCAGTTAGCAGTTTTATCAGGATGTATTTGGCTGCAAGTAACAGACATTTTTGTAATAAAGAGATTTAAAAAGTAGGCAGTGCCAAGATTATAAAGGCTTTTTGTCTTCATTTGTTTCTTTCCTCTGGCCAAATCTAGTCACGTGGCATTTGTTGGCATAGGGGATAGGATTGCCACCTATATCTTAAAATCTGTTGTTCCTTACTTGAAACTGACACTGTTGACCTCAAAGAAAATCAGTATTTGGTTAGCAAGGAAGAATGATGAATAGTTAGAGAATAGGCAGTCAAAAGTGCTGGCCACAAAATGCGATTTTTCTCAGTTAAACTCTTTTGTTTAGTGAAACATTTTGCTACTATTTTAAAGTGAAGAAGCAATGAGGTTTTTGGTTCTTTAGATTGGTCCCTGTCTACGGAGGCTGAATTTAAAGGGGTCCTCTCAAGGCTTGCATAAGGGACCCTTATAAGGTTGTAAAGACCTTATTAGATTTGAGTTCATTATGAATTGATAATGTGAGATAATAAAATTATCTAGATTTTTATCTTTTTTTAGAGTAAGAACCAAGGTTCAGCACCATAGACTAAAACTCAGGATGTTTTGTGAGCACAAGATGGACTACCTATATCTTGCAAAGAAACTTCTGAAAAATATCAGTAGAACAAAACCTGAGGAATGAGAATTGACATACCTTCTACTTAAATGCTTTTTTTTTCTTTTTCTATCATATTCACACCCTGGCTAAGTTGATTTTTTTTTTTTTCCCCCTCATGTTTGTTAGGGTGTTTCACTTGTTCCTATATTTTTCTTTTATTTTGTACTTCATTTTTAAGAATTAGCCAGATTGTTGTGGTAGGAATGAGCTATAGTAGCAGTTTACTTCCTCATGTTAACTTACAAGTTCATTTCATATACAGAACTCTAGCTGTGATTAATTTGACTCCTAGTTGATTCAGAAGTAAAAGTGCCAGAAAAATTGTCAAGTAAAAATTTTTTTCAAGACTTTTTCCTCCATAAGCTAGAAAAAATACTTAGAAATAAAATTTTCGAAATTCTTCTAAGTGTTTATAAATGGAAGTTTTCTGTTGTAATATCTAAATATGGACAACTTGTTCATTGTTGAGTATGGTCAACACAGGTGGCTTTATTATTATTGTAAAGTTCTTTTTAATTTTTTAATGGTGATGTGATATAGTAATTTTAAATATAATCAAAAATGTAAAATGGTTCCCTTTATTAATAGGGATCTGTTTAGAAATGGTAATGGCTCATTACTATTTGTTAAAATATTTTAAAACTAATATTTCTAAAAATATAAAGGCGTCCCTTGGTTTTTAAACTTTTGGTTTTGGGATCTATTTATGCACTTAGATTTTTTTTTTTTTTTGAGGATCTTAGGGTTAAAGTGTGTTTATATTAATACTGTTAGCCATGTGTGGTGCTGCATGCCTGTAATTCCAGTGAATTGGGAGGCTAAGGCATGAAGATCACAAGTTCAAGACCAGCCTCAGCAACTTAGGGAGGCCTTCCCTGAGCAACTTAGCGAGACCCTTTCTCAAAATAAAAAAAGGTTTTGGGGTGTATGTAGCTCCGTGGCAAATCACTCTTGGGTTCAATTCCCCAGTACCCCCCAACATACACACACACACAAAATCATATTAGAAATTAAATTTAAAATAACTCATTATACATTAATGTAACTAACATTTTTTTATTATGATTGGAGTGGTTTTGCCTTACACATTTATAGATCCTTTGTATAGTTTAATAGATTGGTGAACCCTCATTTATTTTGTATTTGTCTGCCTATAGATTGCATGTCATTGTAACCTGTGAAACCCAGTCACTTATGAGAGATTAATGGAGAAAAGAAAAATAGCACCTTAGTATGAGGATATTTTGATTTTGCTGACTTTGGAAGGTTTCAAAGACCCCACCACATTTTGAGAAGCATCTTAGGAAATATTCCTCTTAGGTTACACAGGCTCATGCTGGAAGCAGTGGCGCATGCCTGTAATCCTGGTGACTTGGGAGATTTAGGCAGGATTGCAAATTTAAGGCAACCCCTGGCAATTTAAGACGATGCTGTCTCAAGCTTTAAAAGGTTGCAGGGGCACTGGGGATATAGCTAAATGTCCCTGTATTCAATATCCAGTACTGCAAAAGAAAGTATTCTCAAAATATCATAAAAATATAGATTTTCTTGATGTTCCCCTTTGTCCCAATGGATGGTAAATGTTGGAAGAGACACATTTAAATGAGCCAATTATTACAAATTGTGTAGATGTCCTTTGGGTGGTTGGTCAGCTGGTTACCCATTCTGATTAGAGGACTGACTATGAAGTTTGTTACAGATTTATTGCTCTTGCTTTTCTGCTTGGTGTTTCATCTGCATAGATCTACTTTAACCTTAATGTAATTTATCCCAGGGAATCCCATGATAACTTGGGCTAAATGCATTTTGTCTGTATATTGAAAGGGATTATTGTATTGCTTTGGGAATATATTTTTTTTTCCCTTCTGCTTTTGGTGTTAATCATCCTAAGTGTGGTGTTCTTTGGTCCTTCCCTTGCTGAAACTTCCTCTGAACCTCTGTTTCTTTGCTTCGCTAGTACGCTGGGGAGGAGGAGGAGGAAGGGAGCGGCAGCAGTGAAGGATTTGACCCCCCTGCCACTGACGGGCAGTTCTCTGGGGCCCGGAGTCAGCTGCGCCGCCCCCAGTATCGCCCTCAGTACCGGCAGCGGCGGTTCCCGCCTTACCACGTGGGACAGACCTTTGACCGTCGCTCACGGGTCTTTCCCCATCCCAACAGAATGCAGGTAAAATTGCACCTGGAACTTCTCAGCAGTCCTCACCCTTCCATCCTTCTTTGCCTCTTCCTCCTCCTCCTCCTCCTCCAACACCAAGAGCTGGAAATAAAACCTTGCTTGTGGCTTCCTGATGCTACGAAAGCTGAGGCAAGGCCCTCATTGGGCTTTTTCAGAGCATTGATTCTAGAAACATCTCTAAAAGTACAACCACATGAGCTATGGTTGTAATAGAAAGGTAGGGTAGCATTTCTGGTTTATAGGAAAAATAAGAGAAAGTAGCGATACAGGTAGTATGTTTACAAGCTCGCACTCCAAAAGTACATAAGACCTGAATTTGAATCTTACCACTGCTGCTTATGATCTGTGATGTTTCAAGAATGCTATGTTTTACAGACCAAGTCGTATAAAGCATGCAACATTATGCCTGCAATAGAAAACACTTATAAAATACCAAATTTATATGAGGTGATGCTGATTTTAAGAAAACTAACAAAATAGAAATTGTTGGATGTTTATTCTCTCTCTTTTTAAAAACTACACAATATTATTAGTAGGAATGTTATGAATTCACTGTTCTTAAACCAACTTTGCATTTTCCAGGAAGTAGGAAAACCAGGGGTAGAGTGTCATATTTTTATCACTAGCTACTTTTTCCTCCTTTGTGTCCTAGGGTTTTCCTCTCCCTGCCTTTCGAAAATGTTTTGACTGAACATTATGTTCTGTCTGGTCTTTGCAACTCCTACCTATCATGCATGACTATGTTCTTTCTACATTGCTTCTTGTTTTTTTCCCTTCTACTCCTCAACAGCTGCCCCTGACAAATGTGCTAAAAATAACAAGCAGACTTACATATATGGAGACCTTGGGTACATGAGACATAGTAGGTTTCTTTAGGGCAACTCTCGGCTTCTAGGAAATTAGGACAGGAAAAATTGAGATTGTGAGATTATAATATCTATATTTTTGGTGTGTTATTATTATTGCCATTATATATACACACACATATCCTATTTTATGAGAGTATAGTATTATTTTCCATTCATTGTAAAAAGAGTATATTGAGGGGCTAGGGATACAGCTCAGTTGGTAGAGTGCTTGGGTTCAATCCCTAGCACCTCAAAAAAAAAAGTATATTTAACCTTAGGAGTTAAAAATTTCAGCAAAGTGACTCCTTAATGCTCTGTAGAACATTGCGGATGCTAGTTGAACATGCGTGCTTGTTCTCAATAATCTAGCTGCATGTGCTTGTTTTTAATGCAGACTGACCTTTTCACCCATTCCATTTTGGAAGTAGAAGCCATCTTAGATGTCCTCAACAATTTTCCCTTTTTACCTCTTTGCCATACATTGCAACCAAGTTTGAGTATTAAGTGACATTAATAAGTTTCCCAAAGCCAAATCAAGAGCAACAAATGAAAATTCCCAAGTTCCTTATAATTATGCCATTTCAAGGTTGTCACTGTAATATGCTAAAAGTATAGGTTGATATGTAGAATGTTAAAAGCTATTGATAAATAGAAAGTTTAGACAACATTACTTTCTGTATACAATACTATTAAATTTATTGGGTGCAATGAGGGGAAATGATGCTATCCAGGTCAGTAACAATTGTGTTAGGCTTCAGAACACAAAACAGCATGATCTATAAGTAACTAAAATGATTTCATTTTTAAAGACAATAACTTAATTTGGAAATTAAGTAAACTCATTGAGCTAATACCAACTATTATCACCTAAGAAAATATTTGAAGGAAAGGGAGTGACATTATTTGGCATCTACCAAGTGGAATCAGTTCTTACTCTGTCCTCTCTGCCTTATTAAAATTGACATCTAGCTTTATGAAATTGGCAGTGGTTTCCATATATACATAGATTATATATAATTATTTGCAAATGAAAAGATTTGAATATTTTTGAAAAAACTGACATTTTTATCCAAGTTTATCCAAGGTGATGTTGTTAAGAGGTGGTAGAAGTTGATTTAAATTGTTCATGCTTTCCTTTTCTCTCATTCCACTAGACTCTTATGCTTTAAATATTAATTGATGTTTTTGTCAAAGTTTTTGAAGAAGGAGCAGTTTGTCTTATTCAGGAAACTAAAGGCAGGCTTGTGGTTGGTGTGAGTGGTAGGTATGAGATCTTAGAGGAAATTGGGCACCTTGATAGAGCACAGTAAAGGGCTTTTGTCTTACTTGAAATATAATGAGAAGCCAGAAGAGGGATCTGATCAGAAAAGAAAGAAAAAAATGCTTGGGTAGTTATTGGACTGTTTCAAGGAGACCAGACTATGGGAGACTACAGCAGAAGTCAGCCACTGTGATTTCCCAAAGCACAGATAGTAGTGGGTTGGGTTAGAGGCTGGCAGTGGAAGGTGGGAGTGAGTGGTCAGGATTGGGACATGTTTTAAAAGTAAATGTGACAGCATTTGATGATGGCATAAGTGTGTGTTATAAGGAACAAACAATACCTTTGTTTTTTGTTTTTTTTTGTTTTTTTTTTTTACATGAACAAATGTAGGGATATTGAAAAAGGTTGGATTTGGGGGGAAAGATGAAAAAATTTTGGAGATCTTTCCCCTGTGTTACAATTTACATTCAATCTGGGCATGGTGGTGCACACTTATAATCCCAGTGGCTCAGGAGGCTGAGGCAGGAGGATCACAAGTTCAAAGCTAGCCTCAGCAAAATCGAGGTGTTAAGCAACCCAGACCCTGTGTAGTTTTAGTATTAAGGTTGACAAAGTCTCTGGAGCTCTCTGAGTGGTGTTTGAAAAGACCTAAGGAAACCTTTCAGTTACCAAAGAAGATCATGCACCAAGCTAGAGGTCGCCTCCAAAGGGCAGACATGGGACTGCAGGTTTAATTTGGAGTCATAAAATGCTTGAAGCTATAGATAGCAAGATGAGATTAACTATGAGTGCAGGTGAGAAAATGATCTTGGGACTGAGTCTGGGACATAGTAATAAAGATTAGGAAGATGAGGAATATTATCTGGCAAAGGACATTGGGAAGGAACCTCAGAGCAAGTATTTTAGGAAGGATATGTGTTTAGATGCTGTTGATCAGTAGAGGGAATTATTAGGTTTGGAGGTCAGTGGTATGGGGAGGGCAAAGTTTGATTGGACTGAGATAGTAAATGGAAAGAAGTTTATGCTTCTGGAGTGGTTACTGTGGGTGGCAGTGGTACTAATGGGGGATGTTTTGTCTTTAATATATTTGTCTATAAAGGAGCTCAAAGAAATGGGTAGTGACTCCAGGAGGATGAGATCAGGACAAGAATTTTGTGTTTCACAATTTCATATTTTACAATGGTGAGTTCCCCCTGGTGTGTTACCCCATATACCTCACCAGCAACTTGGTTCTAAAGCCATTAGGTGGGGCAAATAAAGAGATTACCTATTTTACACACCCACCCACCTATGCACTTATTACATATATTCGAATGTACACAGGTAACTACATTTCTTTAGTTCTTTCCACTAAAAGGTTCTGAAAGTAGGAATGCTCTTAACAGCATTGAGCATTCCTGGGCCCAAGTTTTATTTATTTTTTT